AATAAATTTCATGTAACATGAATTTTTTTCATTTCCAATATTATTGTTATTTCCACAGAATTTTTATCATTTCAATATTATTGCTTATCATGATGTGCTTAGATTCACAAATATATTATTACTTTTCATTACTTCCAAATAAATATATAATAATTGATAACCACATAAAAATTTTACCGATAATTTTTCTCTTGCCATAGTTTTATTAACTAGCGATAATTTTATTTTATTAAAACTGCGGGTTACAAATTCATTTATAAAATGTTAGAAGTAGAAACACTTTTAATGTCGAATAAACATAATATATAAACACTTAAACATCAATTTGAACTTTACTCCAGAATTATTTTTTATGTTACAATTATAATGCTTAATAATTAAGTACAAATGTTAGGAAATATGCATAGGATGATTAGACATTACATGGCATAATTATTCTTTTAATTTAGATCCGAATTTTCTTTTCCTTACAACAGAATGTAAGAAAATTATATAAATATTGCAGCTAAGCTTTTATAAGAGAATACTTAATTTAAAAGTATTAAGAGCAAAGTATTAAGAACATACTCTTAATATCAAAATGACATACTTTTATTTAAAAACAAATAATAAACATAGCAAAGAAAACATTCATTTTTATTGTTACATTTATAAATATCTAAAAATTCGAAAACATTTTCGCCTAATTTCTTTTTTAAACACAAATCTCCTCTTTTCCAGTGGCTGTTTACGAAATAAATGTAAACACAATCCATCAATGAACCAATTGTTTCATCACACCAAGTACGAGATTACGCGAGAACACAGACAGGCGTGCACAAAATTATTGAAATTTTTATTTTAATTCACAATAAACGCGATAATTTCCCAAATTCTTGCAACCATGAGTGATAGTCAACAGCCAATCACAATGCGAAAAGCCCATTGATCGGACCTTGGCGAACAAAGAACACGGGGCGCGCTCAAAAGAGCAGAAAATCAGGGTCATGAATCGTGGTTGCCGGGAGAAAAGTGTTGCANTAAAATTAGTTACCAATTCCTTAAAAGATAGAGACCCCTAGGTTAATCCGGCCCTGTTTAGATGTCATCCTTTATCACAGGCAATTTTCAGAAGATGAATAATGATTGTTCTGGACACACAATTCTGGAGAACATTCCACTCACAATGATGGTTGCAGTCAACAAAAGATCAAAAGAGCCGTCTTTTCCCTTTCAGGAATGACAATTTTAAAAGGTCGAGGTATTTAAACACGAAGTTAGCTGTGAATGCATATATATTGCACATTAATTTTATAAATTAAACATAAGCTGTTGTTGTTAATTTACGTCGCACTAGAGCTGCACAATGGGCTATTGGCGACGGTCTGGGAAACATCCCGAAGGATGATCCGAAGACATGCCATCACAATTTCGATCCTCTGCGGAGGGGATGGCACCCCCGCTTCGGTAGCCCGACGACCTGCACGCGAAGCCGAGCACTTTACGGTTGAACAGTTTAACGAGGACCCGTACCGCACACCCTCTGTCCCTACGCAGACTGATCAAAGTGGTCACCCACCCGCACACTGACCGCAGCCAGTGATGCTTGACTTCGGTGATCTGATGGGAACCGTGTCTTAACGATCAGTCTACTGCTGGACATTTTGTAAGTGGGATAATATTATTTAGGCTCATAGGGATAATATTACTGCCCAGGCATTTTTTTAAAATTTAATCTTTTTTTTTTTTGTTGATAAGTTTACCAAATTTCAGAAAGAAGTAACGATTTCATTCGACATTTCCGATACAAATACTTGTACTTTTTCCCTAAAAAAGTAACGAAAGTACAAGCAAAAGTACTAAGTTTAAAAAGTAACGAAGTAAAAGTACGTACTCTTTACTTGTACCGGCAGTACAAGTAACGAGAGTAAAAGTACTGCCATATATGGTTGTTAGTTTCGCTGAAAATTAGAATAGATGATTAAATCGATGAAGACACTACAAGTATATCATTATTGAATGGTGCGTGTTTTCAAGCTTAGGCGTAAAAATCAGTCGGGAGTTGTAATCCGGGAGTCCTACGACGATTTTCATCCCCTAGCGCCATTTGTGCTTAACTTTACACTGTCAAGCATCCATAGACCAGCTCCATTCCTTTGGCCCTTCTCTCTCCCCTCTCCTCCTCTTTTCAGTTGCATAGGAATGTACTACGATATTTTTCCTTTTCTTTGTATTTTTCAGTTTTAATTAATAATATGTGGCCATCACAACGCTCGAATACGCCATCTGGGGAGAGACCAGTTTCATGCCTTTCAGTTGTATAGGAATGTACTGTGATATTTTCCCCCTTTATGTTTTTTGTATTTATTTGCCACAAATATTTTTTAAAATTTTTACAACGCTTTCTTTTGGAACAATGTTTAATGTAGTTTTCAGCTCCATATTCTCGATCGCAACACTCGAATACGCCATCTGGGGAGAGACCGGTTGCTTCATGCCTTTAGCCCTTCTCCCTTCCCTCTTCTCCTCTTTTCAGTTATATAGGAATGTACTACGATATTTTCCCTTTTCTTAATATTTTTCCTTTTTACTTAATAAAAATATTTTCTAAAATTTCCGTGATACTTTTCTTTAGAACTATGTTTAATGTAGTTTTCAGTTCCATATAGTTTTTCAAGTTAAAAGATTTTAATCTATTTAAAAATCAAGAGAAAAACTAACGTACTTCCTTCCTCTATGACTTTCCACACGCTAATGGGGAAAGCATGTGAAGTGTTGCCATAGGAAAAGAGTTCTGCTCTACGCCACCTGCAGCCCATTTCGATCGCCAATAGTTTTCCAACTTAAAAGATTTTAATTAATCAAGAGAGAAACTAAAACGTACTTCCTTGCTCAATGACGTGACGTAGATTTTCGCCTAAGATTAGAAGGAAGTGAAGGTCCTATCTTCCCGGTGGCAACAAAATTCCAAGAACTTACCCTCTTTCAGGTTTACCTTAGTCGAGTGGTTTATCTCATTATTGGCGAATCTTTAGTGAGCGCAAAAATCTGAAATTTCATGCCCTGTCTATGATTGGACAGATTTATTACTGTCTCTAGGCTTTAGAACATCTTACGTCGAAGTATCTTGCACACGTGACTGTCATTAATGATGTACTATTTCTTAACTTGGAAATAGATTCGCAGTTGCACAAAGATATTATTTAGTCTTACTCAATTAAGTNACTTAGCTATATCAATAATCGAGCGATTATAATATGTATAAATATAAGATTTAACACGGGATGTAACATACAACAACATAAAAGTTGAATATTTTCAAAATTCAAAACTTATATAAATAGTTAAACTTACCATAAGAGATTTAATAGATTATCCAAGTCTTAAAATGAAGAATTAAGTACTAAAATTAATAAAATCAATGTTTATCACTAGTGATTCTAACACGTGCTGCACTGAACTGCTACTCTACAATGGAGCCAAAGCACAAAGCAGGGCAAAAGCAAAGCGCTGGTTGGCGACTAAAACAGCAAATAATGTAGCCACGAGAATTAAAATAGTAACCTTTTAATCGTTGCCAACATATAAAACAGACCTTCACTTCCTATTAATCTTAGGCGAAAATCTACAAAAATCTGCTCAATGACTCTCCACACGCTAATGTGGAAAGTATGCGAAGTGTTGCCATAGGTAGAGAGTTCTGCTTTACGCCACCTGTAGCCCATTTCGATGGCTAATAGCTCACGTAGAATTTCTCAGCTGTTTATTGTGCACTCTAACTGAAAATTTACAAAAGTGGTTCTTTAACAATTTAAACAAGTTTTTGCTTTGGACAGATATAGGCAGCCGGAAACAATCTAAATAAATAAACAGACTATAACCTGTTTGTTTATGTTATGAGTGGCGTAAGAGAAAATTAACTTGCACAAATGAAATCATCAATAATTACGTGAATACTTTGATGCTCAAAAAGTGATGAAGCATGTTGAATTCTTTAGCTGTTTCTGAAATTTGACGTTTGAAAGAGTTTACTGAGTTTGATCATGGTATCTAATGCAGAGTGTATTATTAACTTGCCAATAAGTATTTTTGTAATCGATATGTGATTTGTTTTATTATTAATTTCGTTTAGTAATTTTGATTGTTTTCCTTTGTATTACTTTGATCTTATTATTTTTTAATTTTTTTTTATTATTTATTATATTAATTTTGTTGTTCCGTCTATTAATTTGCTAGAGATAAATATCTGCGTCAAATTTCAATTTTTGTTTAAAGTTTGAGTTAATAACTAGGTACAAATTTATATGTTTTATTTTTAATTTATTTTGTAATTTAAGCTGCCATAGCTTTTGAATTGTTTATGTGCGTTGGAGCAACAAGAATATTAGTGTATGGTGAACCAGGTCCCCTAAATGTCTTCAGGATTCTTAATTTTTATCTACTTAAAACTTAATATTTATTAAGTCAATTGTATGTAGGACAAGGCTTTATGCTTATGTTTATATAGTACTTAAAATGTTGTTAAAATTTATTTATCTTTTCTTTTCAATAATTGTTTTATTAATAATTTTGCATGAAGATAAAAGTATTTCTTAAAATATCTTTAGTGGCCTGAGTAGACCTACGAATTTTGCCAGTTGCAAAATTTTGCAAGAGATCAATTGAAATTTCGTTGTTCCATATTTCAAAAAGAAATAAAAAGCCTTTTTTTTTGTCTAAAATATTTGATTTTTTTATTTAAATCTTTTTCTTGTGAAATTGCTGGAAATATTATCAAGTATTTTTTAATGTTATTTAACATTAATTAAACATTGTAAGAAAAATAATTATACAAATGTAAATTTTTATTACTAAGTAATTAATTATTCATTTGTTGCAAGAAAAAGGGAAATTGATTAACTTTTATAACTCCTTAACTTTTTTAACTCTTATAACTCCTTATACATTAGAAATTATATTAAAAAATAGTGTTACACAGAATATTATCTTTAAATCACTGCTGACTTCGAAGTGTTATTCAACATGAAGCAACGCAATTGCACCAAACTCCTCTAAAACAAAAATTCTGTCCCCTTTTTCTCAAAAATACAGTATTTAACAATTGCACCAAGATGCTCTAAAACTCTAATAAGTAAAAACAACTTGCAAATCGCTAAGTGAAAAGTGCGCATTTTGGTCAAATTCATCCCTGAATTTGTGGGTAAAAATATATTTTACTGTTTTAAATTAGTTTAGCAATTTTTATTTTTTTCACCTAAATGTAATGCGCTTATTTTGTAAAAAGTTCTGTGTTTTTTTTCCCTTTATCGAATCAAGCGTGTCAAAAACTGATGACTAAAGTAAATTCATTTATCATATTAACATCCTATTGAAGATATTAGAGCTCGAAAGGCAAGTTGAAGTGATTGATAAACGCTGGTATAACAGCATGGAATTACAGAAAAAGCAAGCGCATTGAGCTGATCTTTTACAATTTGAAATTCCCATGTCAGAATAATATCATATTAATTAGAAGTATTGGAATTAAGAAAAATCAATAGGAAATGTCTGGAAAAAAAAAAAAACAATTGGAAAATAGGCTGGATTTATGATGGAATCTTCAAAAATCAATTGAATCAAAAAATAATTATTGAAATACAAAATTCCTATGTCTTAATAATATACTTATTAAAATTATCCGGATTTATAAAATCACTTGAAAATTGACAAAAAAATTGTCAAAAACTGTAGAAAAAATTGACTGTTTAACAGCATGGATGTTTTTTAAATTGAGGCGAATTAAGTATGTCAAAAAGTACTAAATCAAATTTATAATTCTCTGTCTTAATAACATCATTGTAGAAATTGTGGAATTCAAAAACCATGTAGAAATAGCCAAAATATGATAGATAACTGCAAAAATAACGATTAAAAAACCATGTGGATTTGCAAAGAAATCGGTCTAAAAGACCCTTTTCTCCTCTTTTCTATGGGATCAAGATCAAAAGGCAAGCTGGGTAAAAAATTTTATTCGAAGGAAGTTATATATTGTTGATGATATTATGTTTATATACGTGATGGAAAATAAAGTTTTATTTAAAGTAGGAATTTTGTTTAATTCTGCCCAATATTGTTGGCATATTTCTTTTTTCATATTTAAAATGCATGTTTATTTAAATATAATTCAAGCGTTTTTTAGACTTTATTTTTGCAGGAGTAAATTGTTTTGGTCATAGACTTGTTTAAAAATTCCTTTGTTGTTTTTCTGTTACATTCTTTTTATTTAATGATGCATTTTTCCCCACCTCAGTTAAACTCAATATTAATTTTAGATTTATATGCTATGCTCAATAAACCAAATTTACTTGTTTCAAAATGTTAATACTGCTATCCTATCTCTGTTAAGCTCTAAAATGTGACATTATCATTTATACTTCTAATTAAAAAAAACTTAAGACCTGGGAAAAGAAAACAATATTTTAATTTAAAATGCTAATGATATAAAATAAATAATTCTGCATATTTGTTCTGTAATTGCATTTTTTTTAAAATAAAAGTTCGGCACAATTAGTAAATGCATGCAATAATGCTATCTAGAATGAATTTATTTTATTATTATTATTTGTTACATCATTGTTTTTTTTTTTAAATGATGAGTAAAATTGTGATTTATCCTCTTAATTTTTACGATTTCAGTTCAAATCATTATCCTGGGGTTTAATTGTATATTTTACCCATGTGGTTGCTCTGTATTGAGTCTTTACAAAATAATTTTGCAAAGGGTTAATAATTGAAGCATAATTCTTGAAGTTGAATGCTTTATAATTTTCTCTGTTATTATTCTTGCAGTCATTTGGAAATTTTTTTACTTCATGTTATATTATTTTGCTTTTTAGTTTCAAACACTGTTTTGAGTTAAGCAACTGAACTGAAATGGGCCAGGTATTGAAAAAACTTAAAGAACATGAAAATGACATGAATGCTGGCAACTGTTCTATAGGTATATAAAACAATTACATTTTTATCAATTCATTTGTGAAATTACGGAAAAAAAATGGAACACCCTAAATAACAATTTGTTGTAACTATCATATTTTCTCGTATTAGGTCTCAAACTTAATGGTTCCTGGGGGTGACCTCAAATATGTGTAATTAATTTGCACTGATGTTATTTTAAGTTATGAAATAAGACACAAAAACATGCTTTCTCTAAATAAGCAAACATTTTTTTTCCCCTTTAGATTCCTGACTCTCAAAATATAAGACATAGCAACAGTCTGGGAAATAAAGTCCCAATAGTTTGGTCAAGAGAGCGGTTCAAAGTTTGGACCCTCTAATGGTAATTTCACTTTTGCCTATCTTGCTGTACCGCAAGAACTTTTTAAGTGAAGTGAAAAAGCTTTGCACGCAACTATAAATTTTTTTTTATCTGAAGCTAACTCCGTGCAAAAGTAATTTTTAATAATTTATTATTATTTATTAATAATTTTTATTTGAATTATAAGGTGCACAATTTTTTACATCATTTTTAAAAATGTAATTTTATATGGCAAAGTACAAAATTTGAGCAAAACTGGTCAAATTTTATTCTGAGAAATCAAATTTTAAGAAAGTCATTTAAAATTGACTTATAAAATTACATTCTTTAAAATGATGAAAAAATTGTATACCTTGTAATTGAAAATTCTTCCAACTATTACTAAATATAATAATGAAAAATACTTTATAATTGTGTACAAAAATTTTTCAATTTGTTTATAAAATTCTCGAGATATTGCAAAATACGTAAAAAGCAAAATGAACATTAGGGGCCTAAATTTTGGACTGCTCTCATGACCAATTTTTTGGGACTGTATTTCCTAGATTGGAGCTATGTTCTATATTTTGAGGGTAAGGTATGTTTATTCAGAGAAAGTACGTTTTTGTGTTTGATTTCTTATCTTAAAATATCGTCTGCAGGAACTAATTAGCGTATTTGAAATCACCTCCATGAACCATTCAGTTTGAGTCCTAGTACGTGAAAATCTGAGCATTAGATCTAAAGTTATTCAGGGCATTTTTTTTTTGTGTGCACTGTACAAGTATTAAAAAATTACTGTGTTTTTTGCCTGTGTTACAGTGTCTTCAAATCATTCAGTAACTTTGTGGTGCCCAGATTTAAAAATGTTAAAATATAAATAAACCAAAATTGATAAGTGTCTTTCATTATACATTGCTGCTAACCTTATTAGACTCTTTATAAAAGTAGTTTTCTATGAGATTACTTGTGTATTTTTAGTCATAATTAAGGTTTGGCCAAATAGTTATTCCAAAAAGAATAGTTAATTACATTACTAAAATTTTTGCTGTTATCTTTATATAGTTTTTATATCTAAACACCAAAATTGTATTTTATTAAAGCTAATAAACTGCTTATCCACTCATTGAATTTAAAGTAATACAATAGACATTTTCCTCTATCTAATCATGAAGAAAAGAAAATTCCTAATTCAAAAGTTACTACAAACTTCAGAGAGAACTTTTATGGAGAAACTAACTTGTATTTGCATTCCATGGATGCATAAGCCTATAGTGGTTAACCTAATAACAAAAAAACTCGAGTCAGCTGTGCCTTTTATTCAAGTTTGTAACCACTGTATTGAATCACCCTGCATATGTTCAGTAGGCAAAATGAAGAATGCACCACCCTAAACTTTTGATCTTATGATTCGTTCTTCACATTTTAGGACACAATCTTAATTGTTTGAAGGAATGACCTTAAATATGCTAATTAATTACTGCAGATGATATTTTAAATTTCAAAATTAGATACAAAAACATACTTTTTCTTAATAAAAATATCTTTTTTTGACGGTTTCAGACCCCCAAGATATAATGGGTTGTCGCAATATGGGAAATACGGTCTCAACAGTTTGGTCAGTGGTCCCAATTTTGGACCACTTAAAGTTAATTTTACTTTTTGCTTATTTCGTGTTATCTTGAGAATGTTAAAAGAGAATTGAAAATTTTTGCACGCAATTATAAAACTCATTTCCAAAAAAGGCAAAATATAACTTTCATTGAATATCTATTATTTTTGTCGTGAACAGTTGTAAGTTATACAATATTTTACATTGTTTTAAAGATTGCAATTTTAAATGATAAAATATTGAATAGTTTCTAAGAAATCAAATTTTGAAAAAGTTATATTTTTAAGTTCAATTTCTCAGGTATTATTTGACTGATTTCGCTCAAAATTTATATTTTGCCATTTAAAATTACACTCTTTAAAATGTTGTTAAAAATTGTATACTGTACAATAAAATTTTTGTTCAACTGTTATTAAATAAAGTAATAAAAAATAATAACTATTTACTGAAATTTATATTTTATATATTATCTTTGGTTAAACGAATTTTATAATTCGGTGCAAAAATTTTACAATTCGTTTACGAAGTTCTTGAGATATGGGGAAATACACTAAAAGTAAAATTACATTAAGGGGTCCAAAATTTGGACAGCTTTTCTAACCAAACTATTAAGACCATATTTTCCTGATTGTGGTTAACCCTTATATTTTGGGGGTCAGAAATCCAAATCCGTTGGAAAAAAAGGATACATTTATTCAAAGAAAGTATGTTTTGTGATTTTGTAACTTAAAATATCTTCTGCACTAATAAATTTGTGTATTATTTGTCACCCCTTCAAATAATTTAAATTTAAGTCCTAGAACCTGAAGATCCGATCATTAAATCAAAAGTTATTTCGGATGGCCCCTTTTTTATTTTGCGTACTATTCATAAACATTTTGAAGTTGTTATTATTACTCTGTTATTTTATAGTAGCTATGTTTGCATTCTGAAAATTTCTTTAAAATTCTCAACACATTATTGTTTTTCAGTTGCAGTTGGTAAGAAACATATTTAAATTTTTAGTTTTTTTTCAAAAATATTATTAACCAGTGCTTAGAAAAACTACATTTTTTTGTAACTAGCTACAACTACTTCAATAAAAATGTAGTTAACTACAACTTCTTATTTTTGAAAAGTAGCTATAACTACTTAAACTATAAACTACTTTTGAAATGTAGTCTCTTAATTACTTCTAAATACAAATTTTTCGAAAAGATTTAATTCACACTCGTGTTCAAATTTAAAAAATATTGGAGTTTGAAAGAAAAAATCCTTAAGTAATAAATTGGATTATTTTTACAGAGAAAATTATTAAGAAATATCTATTCATATTTATATGAGCTAACTTATTATTGAAAACCATTTTTTTTAATGATTTGATTATCCTTTCCAGTTCAGGCAGCTTGCATTTGTGCTTTCTCTAAAAAAAATTAGCTTAAAATAATAATTGTTGACTATGCAAAAACGGAAGAAAAAAAGACTCTTGTGCTCAAGCATTTCTCTTGTTCAAACTGAGCTCTATTAAAATTTTGAGTATAGCTGCAACAACTGAAAACACACAGTTCTGTGGATATGATCATCATCATGCTCAGATTCTTTCAAATTGGTCAAAATCAGTGTAAGCCAGAAAAAAAAGAAGCATTTTAGAGATAAAGAAAAAATTATGTATTCGATTGTTTGAATTAAAAGTTGAAGAGTATTTTATTATGACTATTTACTAACGTTAATTGCATTTTTATTAAACGATTAATAATGCAAATCCCATACATATCTAAGTATTTAGCTGCTGACACAAATGAGGCACCCCTAGATTTCTGTAAAAAAAGCATTTGATCACAAAACTGTTCGACAGGATTGCCACTCCACAGGGAGAACAGGGAAAACCTGGAAAATATGGGGAATTTAAAAATCACCTAAAATAACAGGGAAAATGCAGGGAATTTTGATTTATTCTTTACAAACTGGGAAAATACAGGGGATTTTGTTTCTTATTTTTATCTTTTAAAAAATGGTGACCACTGAAAGTGTAATCTATGGGATGTTTAACCATGATATTTCTGCTAAACTAAAGTATTTCATTTACTATAGCATTATTTAAGTATGTTCAGCTGTTTTCCAGCAATTAAAACTAATAAATATAGTTAGCCCAACAATAACTCGCCCAACAATAACCCAGTAATTGTTGTTTTCTTTTAATATATTGTGCATAAGGGAAAACACAGGGAATTTTTTTTCCAGATTTGAGTGGCAACCCTGAATGAAGATCAAAAGTTAAATTCCAATTTTTTTTTTCCAAATAAAAATCAAAAATTTAACCTCAAAATAATTATCTTTTAAGTATTCTCTTTTGCTTATACTGTTTCACTGCATGACTGAAATCAGTGCCATTAGATCAATCATTAAATGTAAAATGGAAAAAAAATCTATATTCCATACAAAAAGCAGGAGTGTGTTTGTGTTTTAATGTAATAAAAATCTAAGTTTTATTAAAATTGCTTATTTAACAATAGATAACAATCTATAAAACGAATACTCTAGTCAGCAATTTCAATATGGCTTTTTTTCTTTGTAGAGCACATAGTTTATATGCACCTAACTTTGTAGTTATGAGTAAAATTAAAGAGTTTTTTTTTTTAAAAATGGCGGGTAGCATTTTACTATTGAATTATGTTTCTAGTTATGAAGGAAAAACAAGAGTTACGAAAAATTACTAAGGGAAGGAGTGCAGATGATTTTAGTGAAATAAAGTGTTTTTATTAGATTATGAGACTAATTACTATGAAATAAGTGATACGTTATAGAAAAGCAAAATAATTAATAGTGAGTGGGTAGCTTCATTAAATATTGTTTGCTTTGAATATTTTGGATGTTCTACCAAAGAATTGTTTTAAATTTATGAAAGAAATTGAGAGAAAGGGGAGAATTGCAAAACTTTGAACTGTTGGTTGTTTCTCATTTAAAGCAAACATAATGCTAACTCTGAAACTCTTGACCATGGGGTCATTTCTCAGAGTGCCACTGATGGATTTGAAAATCTTGCATCAGTTAGGTTTAAAATTATTAATATAAAATTAATATATTATTGATTTAGCTTAATGGTTGTTTCAGTGTTATAGATGAAGGGCGTTTTATTGGATTTGCAATATTTTTTGCGGTCATCTACTTAAAAATAGTATTATTAGTTTATTAAAACAGTCCAAATTACAAAAATTTAACTACTTCATGAAATAGTATTCTTCAATGTTTCATCTTCATTATAACTGATTCAGAATTTTTTGAGATAATTGGGCCAAAAATGTATAGTTTCCTTATTGAGTCAACACTAGTGTAATACAATGGATGAAATTAAGAAAATGTGGGTAAGAAAATGCATTAATAGCTTCAGAGTAATCTTATTTTAGTATCCTTTGTATTCATATTCTGAAAATTTTTATTCATTTATCACTTAACTAAAAACATTGCGACTTTTTTCATTTGTCTGTTTTTCATTTACTTAAATTTATCAGATTTATCAAAAGTTTTCATTAATGTACTTTAAGGTTTCCCTGATCTTGCTGATCTTCCTCCAGAAATAAGTTTGTGTGTTTTATCTCACTTAAATGCCACTGATTTATGTTTAGCATCATGTGTTTGGGGTAAACTAGCACAAGATCAGATTTTGTGGCAAAGGTATGTTAAATTTCAAGTATAATTAGCATCTGCAATATTTTATGTCTTTCAGTTTACTAACAAAATTTTATTATTTTGAAACTGTTCAGTTGGTAAATCATTTTAATTTATAGCTTATATTATTAATCTACTCACTATTCATTAATATACCATTTCATGTATAGGGTGTTACGGAATTAATGACCACAACTATAAGGGACATTATAACTTGTTAAAATTTTTTTTTTCTCAATACGAAGCAAAAGATAAGCTGGTAGAGGGTGCTTTCTGACTGAGTAAAACATCACCTTTTTAGAATGTGTCTTTTAGCTGATATTTATCAGTTATGCAACAAATTTCGAATACAGTTAAAGGACAGGGACAGGTCTATTCTAAAAATGCAGGGACAGGTCTTTTCTATTTTGTGCCTGGAATAAAAACTAATCTTGGCATCCCTTTATCATGTATGAAATGAACATCTTTTAAACATTGTATTCATGGGTGTATAGAAAAAAACTAATTGTCATTTAAAAAGTTTTAGTAAAAATTTTTCATTTCAGTATTTTATACTTGGTAATAAAATTTTTTATGTTGTATATAAATATTGAATTATTCTGATTCAGTATATATTGATTTAAAAATATATTTTATTTTCAGTGCGAAATATAAGTTTATAAAATGGAAAATAATTTATTCGTTAAAAATTACTTTATGTTTACATGAATTAATGTGCTACTTACATCTTAAGTCATTTGTAGGCTACAATTTCTGTACTTTTTGTTAATATTCAAAATTTTATCGTATTTTAATTATTGTTTAATTATTTATAAACTAGCATTATTCAAATTAATCTGAAAAATGTTGATATTGACTAAATCACTGTATAAAGCTCAATTTTTTAAATGAATATATTTTATGATTCTTTTTCTTATTCTGAAAAATTGTGTTTTTTCCTTCTAGTTTATGTAAAAGTCAATGGAGATATGCTTCTATTTATTCAAAAGAGAAGCATAAAGGTTTCTCCTATCAACAACTGTATTTGCAGTTAGATGAAGGAACAATTACTTTCAATGCTGATGCTTTTATGGTTAGTATAACAATACATAAGCATTTAAATATATCAGTATTGGTTTCCGCAATTTTAAACATACAAGACAAGTATTTATATACAGTGGAAAGTCGTGTATCTGGAATCGGTAGAACTTCTGGAAGTCTGGATAATAGATTTTTCCATATAGTAGACCCCCAAGGTAAACAAAGCTTAAAATGATCTAATAAACGATCTGAATCTAAGAAGAAAAAATAAACATTATTTTTTGGGCAGCAATGTTTTAGTATTAGAATGATATCTAATCAATCAAAAATAAAATATTAGAAAAAAAAATTATTGCTTAAAATATAGAAAACGAAAAAAATTTGACAGTTATGAAAATATTAATTGCTCTTTTCACCCTTTTTAACTAGAACTATTCAAGCAAGAAGCGGAAGTATCCGTCATTCATTAAGGTGGGTGGGTGGTGGAGATTGTTCAAGTTGAGGACGGGAAGTGACAAATTCTTATTTTCTCTCTGATCATTGGCGATCAATGAAGCATAAAGGCGTGGCATACTGATCGGGTTCTCTTTATTTTTTCTTGTGTGACTGAAAGAATCTGCTAAAGAAAGAATATTATCCCCATTTTCCCTGCCTCTTAAATATTACATGGCCAGGGAAGAAAAACGAATGTTTCTCAAGAACATGTATACTTTTAGACCTATTCAAATTTTCCATTTTGCTCCCCCTCCACGTTAACGTTTGCCGCATTTACCTCTTTCCACAGTACTTCTTCTTTCCCTAATACTATAATAAAAAGGTTCCAGGAAATGCCTCTTTTACTAGCCAGCTGCATAGGGAAGAAGGGGGGAGAAGACTCAAGTTGAGCACTTTTGAAAACAAATCTTCCTCTTTTCCTGCATTCCAGGTGGGGAGCGTCACTAACGGTCTTGGTAGATCTTCTTTTCCCCTTTCTGGTGATTTATGGGTTCAATGCATAAATCACTAGAAGCTAGAAAAAAAGAAAACATGTCAAAATACCTTTTTTTTTTAAAAGAGAGGGGAAGATGAAAACCTATTTGTTTATTTTGATTGTTGAAAAGTGTCAGGGAAATTGACCCTGAATCGATTGACCTTGATATCGGATGTTACACTGTATATATTTACTAAAAATGTCTGGCATTGTGACTTGTAGTAAATTGGTCATGGGTTGCAAGAGTATGTTATGGATTATCTTTATTTTAGCAATGCATATTTTTTGAAAATAATAGTTTTTTCAAAAATTTATTTATTTATTTATTTTTTTGTTAAATTCGAAGTCTAATTTAGCCAAAATTCAAAATTTGTTTTAAGAAGTTAATACAAAGTTTTTAGAATGGAAATTTAGCAAAAAAGCTGAAGGGATGATAAAAATCTGTAGATATTGTTAATACTTAATAGAATGCATTACCTATTTTTTAATCATTAAAATGCAATGCATAAGATCATATCATTATATTCCTCTTCACTCTTAATTGGAGTCACTGGCTTTTATCATATCTCTCCATCTCACTCTATCTGTGACCAGATATTTTGCCTCTCTCCATGTCTTTCCTATTGTTTTTAATTTACTTACAATTGCATTGCAGCAAGTGTTTTTTAGGTTTTCCTGTTTTTCTATTGCCTTAAGGATTCAAATCAAAAACTTGTTTTACTTTAAGTTTTTCAGATTTTCATGAAATATGACCAATCCATTTCCATTTTTTTTAATTTCCTGTTCAAGTGTTTTTTTCTGTTGCTTTTCTAAGGATTTCTGTGTTACAAATTTTATGAAACCACGTGATATGTAAGATTTATAGAGAAAGACATATTTAACATTAATATTGAAAATTCTAATATTTGTTGATTTTGTTATATCTTTGTTTTTCTGGAATTTATTGAGTTATTCTCAATAAATTTAAATAAAACTGCAAACTCAATAAATTTTAATATTAACTGCTTCAGGCTTTGTTTAATCTTTTTAGCATATCTTCATCAGTTCCTTTGTTGTTAAATTACACTTCCAAGATACATAAAATTGTTTACTTCCTCTTGTTTCTTATTTTCTAAGAACATGTCATTTAATTGATTAGGGTTAATTTTCAAAATTTTAGCAATACATGAGACTTCTCTCTAAAGTTTTTGAGACATCTGAAGAGAAATTGCAGTTCTTTGAGTGTTCAAATATGATTTTACAAATTCTTAAAGCTATAATATTGGGATCATAATCTACAAATCATAAGCATAATGGCTAAATAATTTATAATAGTAAAATATGAAACTCACAATAGCAGTAGTTTTACACTTGTATTTCTTATTAAATACTGAAATATAATCTTGTTTATCTTTATTTCTTCATTATTATTTTTTACTATGCATGGTTTATTCATTAAAATTTTAGTTAATTCAAATTTTGTTACTCTTTGTATTTCATTTAAAAACAGAACCGGACTTAATAAATGTTGGAACAGAAATTTTAGCAATATTTCAAGTGGACATTACCTATGCTAGTAAACATCACTAAGTAATTTCATGAACTTGCAACTGTACAAAATAATTCTTATGAAATTTGTTTGAGATAGCCATATAAGTACCCTACTAATGAGATTAGATTGTATCAAGCTTGTAATGAAGATGTTTTTCTTAAAAAATATAGAAAAAATTATATAACAACGTAGCCCTACTTCCTGGTGGTGTAATAGGTGAATTACCTTCTTGAGTAGTGTTTTGAAAGGTAAATTGATCTACAATTTTTGCATATGTTCTTGATGCTTTTCCAAATGCCCCCAGGATTATCAAAGGAGAAAGGTCCGATGCTCTTGCAACAAACAGACCCAAATATGTCATTCTATTTAATAAATCTATACTGTTAACAGTCCATGCGAAAAAATACACAAACTGAATTTGCTGGGTAGAGTGAAGACTAAACGCTGGAAGCATCTCACTTACTTGCCAGATTATCCACTGGAAAAAGCAGTGGTTTTATTTATATTATTGAAAAGCCATGATTGCCTGGGCAAGCAACTTTGCTCATCCTTTATGCCCTCTATATCACCTGATGGAACCTATGAAGAGAAATTATCTGCTTTTCTATGGAGCACTTGTGGACTACATCTCAGTGACAAGCCAATATTATTGTGGCCAGAAATCTCCTTTGCCAAACGTTGAGGTCGTTTTTTTTATTGTTGTTTATAGTTAATTTGTTTCACCTTGTTGTATTGTGTTTTCTTTCCTTTTGTATTTGCAATTGGAAGCAAATTTTTTTTTAATTAATCGTTATTTCTTACATTTTAGCTTTTTTTTAATAATATTTAATTGTACTTTATAGGGTATGGATTACTTCATTAAACATCAGTTGATTGATGATAACCCACAAGAAATTGCACATTTTATTTACTGTACACGAACTCTAAATGTTCGACAAAAGAGAATATACTTAAACTCAAGGTAATAAGAAGTATTAATTATAAGTCAGAACAATAAACATTTTATGAGAAGGTTTTAAATAGTATTTTATTTAGTTTAGATCTGTGCTTACATTAACTGTTATAAGTTTCATTTTAATAAAATTATTGTTAACGCATTAAAATCATATTGTTCTTTGTGATCATGACTCTGGAGAAGTAGTTTCTTTTAATGATCTTATAATAATCTTGATTATATAATGAATGTGTTTACAGTATATGTTCATATTTAATAAATGAAAAAGAAAGTTATCTCAAATCTTTAGTTTTATTAATATGTCTGTGATTGTATTTTTATTAATATATTTATTTCATTAATACGTTGAATAATTCATTTTAAATTTGTTTGGTCTTAGGTCTAGATATAAATTATAATTAAATTATTATATTAATTTATAAAAGTTTTAAAATTAACCTATAAGTAATTTATATTTTTTTATTATTATTCCATTAATGCTCAGCCATATATAAAGGTCTATACAGAAAATTTTTTATATGAAAATAAGTGTTAGTTCATATTTGTTTATTCTAAGTTTTTGTTCTGATACCTACCACTTTACCTTTAAAAGAGTACTGTTCTTTTATTTGAGATTTAAACATGAATATATATAGAGAGAGATAATTTTTAATGATAGTTACAACTATCTTATTTTTGCAAAATTAATTGTAATTCTGAAACACTTGTGCTACCACTTTTTTGTTTTTGAAAAGTTTCAAAAAGTTATCAAAGTTTACTTTTACATTCAATAAATTTTTAAATCCGGCTTACATTAATCTTATCTAATTTAATTCAAGCTTAATATCAATATATTTTAGAAATAAATATTTAGAAAAAACTGTGGAATAAATTTAGGTGACTGAAATGTATTGATTTAAAATTAACTAGTACTTGATGCATGCAATAATATAAGGCAGTTATTTTTTATATACTATTATGTATTTTTATTTACACAAACTTGAAAGGAAACACTAAAAATTTCATGCTTTATATAATTAGGATATCAAAAATGAGTATTTTAATTTAATATTTTTAAAAATTTAGTCAAACTATACTGAAGTTTTAAAAGTTGTGTATCTGGTATTTACTTCACAAAACTTACTTCAAAAAATCTCAAGATCTTTGCTTTTTTATTTTAAGTTTTACTGAATTTCTTCTGTTTCATCCTCTTTCTCATCCAATATATCATTTGATGCTATTCTCTTTTAAAATTGCCGATTCTTCCCAATCATCACACGTGGCAAGATTACTGTCTACGGTAACTTTGTTTTCAGACATATAAATGTCTTTTTAATTCATTAATTTAATAAGTTCTTTGGAATATTGTGAGTTATTCTCATATGTGCAGACATGTCTTATAAGTCTACTTCTTTATGAATGGATGATTCAGGCAACTTCTTTTCAATCTGCAAGGCAATCTCTTTTTATTAGGGCCTTAAGAAATGGTTTATAATAGTATTAAAAAAAAGTCTTTAAAACTTAAAGTTTGAGGAAACATTTTAAATTGTTTAGAAGTTAGAATAGATGCATTTTGGGTAATCAAAGTTATTTTTTAAAATCAAGGGTAACAGAGAAATGCATTTTATTTAAAAAAGCTTTTTTTTCAGTTGATAACTTTTCAAATTAATAGGGAGTTTTCATGATTTCAAAAAATTTGTGTTATTAAAGTTTGTAAAATTGAGATTTGACTGTAGTAAAGCAGGCAGTAACATTTTAAACTTAAAATATTTCCCAAAACCTTTTGTTTGGCTCAAAATTCAAGAAATCTCACTTTATTCTAAAACTTACTAACTTTATTTGATGTGGTCAAATAAGTATCCTTCTAATAAGGTTATATTTTATTAACTGTGCATAAGATATCTATATATTTTACAAAATAAGAACTATCTTTTTGTAATTTTTTTTCTTCTTTTTTATATTATAGGAGAGATGTCCTTTGCCATCTGATTGGAATGCACAATTTTTCAAATCAATTTTTACCCCATGCTCTTCGAAGATTTTTTGAGACTCTCCAAGCGCCAAATCAACTTGATAGCTACCTGAATTTTCTTTTGGAAAAGTTTTCTGCACGTTTTTGTCAGTGTAACCCAAATCTGCAACTGAATACTGGTTTGTTATATTTTTGTTTTCTTATGATTAAAATCCTGTTTTAGCAGATTAAAATAGATTGTTCTGTTTTCATTTATTTCTAAAGTGTGCAATATGTGACACAGAGAAAAAATTGCAAATTTATTTATATTTTATCTCTGAACCCAAAACTTATTAATTATTATTATTATGATTTTTTTTTGAGTTTTTCTATAATTTTTTTTATTATTGTTTTTCTATAATCGAATTTTTGGATTTCATATCTTTATATATTTATACATAGTACAGCAAGGAAAGCTCTTAAATTATCCAAACTGGACTCTAAAAAATAACCTCTCTTTAATATGCGGTATAACATTAAACAGCCTCACAAATTTGGTTTTAGTGGGTGGGGATAAATGGGGGAGAATCTGAAGTATTATTTTCTAATTAAGTTCTGTTCTCTATGGATGCATTTTTTCAAACTGAATTGAATGAGATCGAATATGAAGTAATATGACAAATAGTTCAGAAAGTGGAAAGATTTTACTGTATAAAAAGTTCTATTTTTCAATTATATTTATCTACACTTTTGACATTGCTTTCTAGTGGCTGTTTTGGCAAGTGAGGTATTATACATTTTTTATGCTAATTCAAAGTGGCTAAAATTGAGATGATAGAACCAATAGTTCAGAAGTTATAATGGTTTTGTTTTTATTAAAAAAGGCGCAATGTTTAACTTGTACCTATTAATGCATCTGAAATTGCTATCTAGACAAATTAAGTATTCTTTTTTTTTGTAATATTTTTACACTGAATCAAAAGAAATCAAACACTAAGCAATAGGATTAATAGTTCATAAGTTGCAAGGATTTTTAGATACAAAAATACAATTTTTCACTTGTGCTTATTTACTTTTTTATTTTAATTTACATATCCTGGGACAGAGATAGCCTAGTTGGTAGGGCACTGGGCCCATGTCCAAGAGGAGGTGACAGTGTTTTCTCTACAGCGCGAGAATGCAAGAATCTCGCATATTTTTTTCTTTTCTCGCATTAAAAAATTATTACTGCAAGAAATTCGCGCATTCTACAAATCAATTTCAAAATTCGCGAATTTCTCGCATTTTGGAAAAAGCTTCGCATTACACCATTTAGAATAAAATCCATTTCACTTTTCTACCTATATCTTTCATTATTTTCAGCATCTGCCTCGTTATCCAGCTTCCCGATTTACCAGTATTGTTCAGAACCTTTTCTAACAACAGAACACTACCCCTCCGAACCACGGAACCCCTTCCAGAACACATTTCTCTGCAACTACGTGTTTACCTTAGATAAGGTTTCTTCATGTAAGACGTTCAAATTTTTTATGCACTAATGTAGGATGGACAAATATACTTTGTAAAGGCAAAATCTTCTATGATGATGCAGCAAAAAAATTCAATGCTTTAAAAAATAGAAGATGTTAAAAATATATTATAATTAAAGAAATAGTTTTTTCTTCAAGTCTATTTGTGTTTTTTTAATTTTTAGAACTTACTTAACTTTTTGAAATCTCACCTGGTGAGAAATTCTCACCCATATTTTTTCTGTGATGAAAACACTGTGGTGAGTTCAATCTCCATCGGCCAAGGGCTCCCCTTGTAAGTATATGGTGACCGGTGCATGTTAAATCTGTTGAGTCACAAAGTCCTCCATGTTCCCGAAGCAATTCATACCTCTGGGGGCAGAGATTCAGGAGTTTTCCTTCTCTTCTGGATTGTTTCAAAATTACAAGGCTACGGAGTTGAACATTTGTAGTCGTAAACCCAAAATTTGGGTCGGCTGTTCAACCATGGTTATAAAGTAAAATTTACATATTCTTGCAACTAGAATTTTGTTTCATTGCATCTAGTATGAAAAAATACATAAAGAACAATACCTTGCTTTTTAAGATAGCCACTAGATAATATTGTCCAAGAGTGTAAAAAAGTACCAATGAAAAATAGTTGTTTTTAAACATAAAAACTGTAGCAATTTCTGAATTGTTCGCCCTGTACTACTGGGTAGAACTTTCTTTTTAAATGTAAAGTTTAAACCTTATTTTTACTGTACTAAAATAATTGTAATGTGCCTTCTTTAATTTTACTTTCTGAGATTTGCATGTTTGATTTCGAAGCTTGAACTATCATTAAGTTTTTACTTCGGTACATAAGTCATATTTTAGCACATAATGTTTAAATTTTTAAAATTGTTTATTTTTTAATTTTTGTTTATTTCTTAGACTGTAAATAATTCTTGTAACAACATGAATTTTGGCAGTAAATTTTTATTTAGATCTGTTACAAATGATATATGTAGTTATAAAAGCCAACTCAGGTTTTAATTTTAACCATTATTGGAGTTTTTTTTTTATCTTTGATGCTATGAAAGATTTCAACTATTTGAGTTTGCTATACTCAAAAGCTCAGTTACTTTTGAAACATTGCTCGTTATTTTGTCATGTTTATTCTTGTGAATAGTGATTATCCATTTCTTTTGCTGATAGCGAAACAGGTTTGTTGTGCATCTTCACCTGATGCTCATCACATGCTAAAAACAGAATCAAGTATTGCAACCCTATTAATACCAAGTTCACTTGTATTAATAGGGTAACTTGTTAATGGTCATTTTTTAACACTGAACATGCATTTTACAAATAATGGCAGATCTATATCAAATGTTAGCTCCCATGCAACAGTTTTGTAATGAGTGTGTGCTCGATGCCGAAAACGGAGTATCGAATATTACAACCGTTTGAAATTCGAAGTTCATTTAGATCATGGTCAATTTTAAGAAACAGTATGGGGTAAGCAGGGTAATGGCACTTAACCCTAAAAAAAACATCAGTTTAGAGTATGGGCATTACTGGGTAGTGGCACTAAAAGAGTAAAACTAAATCTCAAATGAAACTCATCTGGAGTGGTAACAAACTACGCTCATGAGTAAATGTTTTCCTTATGAGAGGAGCCAGTTACTACTCAACTCTTCACCTACTTGTACAATAATATATGCAAGTGCTCAGTAGCTTGTAACTAGTCAATGACGCCAAATATCGATGTTTAAAAGGCCAAGACTGAACCAGAAAACTCGCACTCTCTCTCTTTGTTTTTTTAAAAGCTACTGGTATGTAAGATACTTCTCGAAGTAGAGCCCATGCTACAGCACGGGTCTCAATTATGTGTCGCTATTAATATCAGTATGTTAACTTTTCATCTAATCATTTGTAATCTTATTCGTCTTTCACGGTCGTTGAATTAATATTCATTTATGTTAGAGCTGTGTTTCTTGAGTTTAACCATTGCATGGTCTGCAATTTCTTGATTGTTGGGAAGAGGGCCCCGTACCCAGCAACAGTTATTATCACAATGTCGCTGATAGTTTTCCTCCCGAAAAACGTTAAAAATTTAAAACAAAAATTTATTCCAAATATAAAAAAACTAAAAAAGTGAATCTAAAATTTGTAGAAAGTTTAGAAATAGCGCTAATGTGATTGAAATCTCTCAATTAATTTTGAATTTTACTTTTTTTATATTAGACGTTTTTGCATTTTAATTAGATTTTTTTAATATCCACAAATTATTTTATTTGTAATCACTAAAACAAAGTTATTTTTATATTAATTTTTTTCAGATATGGTATATATCTTGTGCTTTTCTCTAATTATGCTGTCTGTAGATTTGACTAGTCCTCACATCAAAAATAAAATGTCAAAAAGAGAATTTATTCGCAATGTACGTTATGCAATTCATCGAGCTGATGATGAGTTTTTCGGACACATGTATGATGATGTTTATCTAAGGGGACATATTGCTCCAAATTCCGGAGATTAGTCATAAGCCTAAGTGTTTATAGAAACTAATGTTGTTCATGCTAGTCGAAGTCAGAGTATATGTTGTAAGCTATATTGTAATTTTTGTTTTTATTTAAATACAATCATGAAAATGATGTATGTTACTTATGTGCTATGCACATATTTATGTGATTTTCTGTGTTAGACTTGTGTATTGTGTTGTAATATACATATTCTCCTGATCACATTATGGTAAATGTGTTTTTAGATTTTGCAAAGAAATTTATTGATTTATTTTTATGGATCCCTGATTTGATGTATTTTCTAAGTCAATTTTGCAAAAGAGTTTTATTGTGAAATTTTAGAGTTTATTTTGCTAACTCAAGCATTCAGTTTTTGAATTATTTTATGTTATGTGACTCAATTTGTTTTGACTAAAATAATATATTTTTATATTATGACACTGAACAATGAAATCACTTGGTCATTCTAAATTTTGTGGTGCATAAGTAATGAATTTAAAGAATCCTAACAACATATCTAAGACATAGTGTTACTTTCTAGAAATTTTATTTGGAACATCAATAATTTTAAATTGTAATGAGAAATATATGTGATATTTTTGTTTAGGAGTAAAATTTTCATTCTTTGTGTAATGAAACATTTTAAATTAAGAAATCTGTTCTTCCTTTATCAATCCAAATTAGGTTGTTATACTTTAACACTAATCCACAATTTAAAAATAAAAAAACTCATTAATTAGTTTGAATTTTGTTTTTATTTTTTCTTTAAAATGAATTTTATCGAAACATGACTGAATAGCTGTTTATATGAAATAGTAATTGAAGCATTCTGTAAGAGTTTCTCAAAAGCAAAATTGCTATATTTTTTTATAACTGTCAATGCAGCTTAAAAATTAAAAATACAAAATTGAAGGCTAAAAAGAGAAGCTGAAACTATTTAAAATTATCTTCTTTTTGCATTAACTACCAGTTTCTATTATCTCCAATAAGTGTTATTAAAATAAACTAAGGAAGCTTAGATTAAAATAAAATAAAATTTAAGTATTTGATGTTAAGTTCATACTTCTTTGTTGTTATTAAGTTTATTGCAATAAGAATTTTTTATACTTTAACAATTTTATAGCTAATTAAAACTGCAAGTGTTTAAAATTATCTGCTTTTTGTGCAAACTACTTTTTTGGAGAGAATATGAAACATTCTTAGCATGTGATTTTCATTAGTGAATATTTTTTATTTTGATTTGATGTAAGTTAGTACTGATGAAATTGAATTATGTTAAAAAATCTGATGGTTATTAGTATTTTTCCTCCCTGATATATTTTTTTTAATGAATCTAGGAATTACAGAAAATGTTTTGGGAAAGTCTTTCAAACTTATTTGTTTTTATTTTTTTATTTTATAGTGTCAACAAATTTGCTTTTACGATCTTTAACCATTGAGCCTATATAAGATCTAAAATATCCTATTCTTTATTTTGGCATCAAATGTAGCTTTAAGCTTGACCAATTAAATCAAATACTGTCCTGCAATAAAGGAAGAAAATTAAGTATGTTTTTATGTATTGATATTCACTTGAAAAAAATAATTATTTCACGTTTTTTCATTATTCAAGAGTATAATCTAATGTGCGCTTATGCTCATTTGTAGAAATAAATTTATCATGGCTTTAAAATATTTCACTACTTTATTAATAAAAAAGCATGCATAACTTTTAACATTTTTAAAATTATGATTCATATAAAATTTTCTGGATTTGCCTCTTGAAAATGAAATCCATATAAATGTGTCTTATTTCTAATATATTTGAAGGGAAAATAGAGTTATTTTATCGACAAATGAACTACAATCAAAGAGTTCAACAATAGAGAACTCTTGCTTTTATTTTTGCTCCATGGTGTAAAGTTTTACTGCATTAAGTTTATATGAAATTTGTTTTTGTTAAAAGTTTTTTTCCTAGTCTCTCGATTTTCAGAAACTTATAACATGCATAAAATGCTCATTAATTATATATCTATTATAATTATGTCTTGCTCAATTAGCTCATTGTTTAGATTTTTCCCCTATGTTAATGTTACTTATACATTGGTATTGATTCTGCACGTTAATCTAATGCAAGATTAAAGCCAAACAGAAATACTTAAAAATATTATTAAAAACATTTAAATTTCTTAAGACTAGTGTTATAAGTGTCATATTACACTAATTTTCATATCAAGTCGCTATAATAAGTTATATATATTTTTTTAAATATAAGGAACAAAGAACTGCTTCAACTCAATATATATATATATATACTTTGTGTTTTAAGACATACCATACCAAAGCTGAATGTAAAGAAATAAAAATCTTAAGTATTCAAAAATACTGTTTTTTTTCCCCTTCCATTTATCCCCTGTAAAATGTTTTTTCCTGTTCTATACCTTTTATTTTGGCAAGAAGCCAACTTTAAGTAAAAATGCCTAATTTTTGTTATCAATAAAAGTTATATGTAATTAATAAATGTAATACCTATAACAGTTTTGATTACTAATTTGAATTCAAAATTGTGTGAAAAGATGTGTTCATTTTTGGTCACAATATGTCAGGAAAATAGAACAGTTGATTAGTTAATAACATATACAGGGGTTGGAAAAAATAATGGAAACACTTCTATGCTGACACATTTTTTGATTTTTTTTTTAAATACATAGAGAATTATTTTATAAATTTAGAAGTGTTTTGGTTATGCGATTTCTCATACTCATAAATGAGGTTTAAAACTTTTTAAGGTTTGAAGCCCGACAATAACATTACAAACAAAAAATAGTGTTTTTGAACACCTTTTGCCAAAAAATGTAGCAATAAATTTGTAACTAGTAATAATTATTTTGGTTATAAATTGTTAATAATTTAAATAATTATAATAATTTACCTATATTTTGAATTGTTTAAAAATATATTCAGTTTTGATCACAATATGCCAGGAAAGTGGAACAGTTAATCGTGTATTAACATATACAGGGGTTGGGCAAAAATATATTTTTTTAATAATTCCTTATATCTACTGTGTATACCATTGCATATTAGTTTCCTTAAACTATAAAAATGTACTGTTCTTATAGAAGGCTTATAAATTCTAGTCAAGAAATAAAATTTTATGATATATCTTGTAAGGAAATTTTTCTATGTCTTTTAAATTTATTGTATTCAGAATAGTAAATTATATGTGTAGCTGCATCCTCATAGAATAGCAGTCATTTAATGTATTGCCAAACTAATTTAGTATCAAATTTTAATGTATTAAGGAAGATCAATAATTCAATGAAAAACATTTAATTTATTACTTGCCATTAAACTCAATTCTGCTTAATAAATGTTTTTGTAATACATGATTTGTGTTTCCATTTCATTGTACATATTTATGAAAATGATATACAATCTATTCAGTCAATTTTCATCAGATACTTTAAGTTTTCGAAATGCATTTCTGAATTTCCAGAAAAATACTAAACAAACTATTTTAAATTCTATTCTACCAATGTGTGTTTTTTTACTATTTTTATAAATGTAAGAAATGCCAGTTATTCTAGATGTACTCTGCTTCAGGGATGTGTTTTCTCCGCCACTAATCGAAAACTAGTATTACTGGGAGTTAGGTATGTTCTTTAGTGATCATGTTGGAATCTTTATGTCTGGTAAGCAAAAGTAATGTGGAGGGATGTCTACAAATTAGTGTACCAAAAGCTATCTGAAACTCCTCGTTTATTTTGTTCGTAGTTATGCTTTTAAAGCATGTTTTAAAAAGCCAAACTAGTGTAAAACAAATCGTAATTGAAATTTTAAAAAAAAATGCTCTGTACTAGAGTGCTAATTAATCATGAAAATTGCTAAGCAACCAATTCATGCACAATGAATTATTTTTTCCCGTGCAATTGAAAAAGCAACGTAAGTGCTTCACATTTGATTCCGAGAAAAGTGGTTTGACAACTATTTTCCTTCGATTGTTAATGCAATGAATGCTAAAATAGAATGTCAAAAAATTGATAGAATAAAATTTATTTTTGAAAAAAATTTTCTTGCTTTATGTAGCTTACCATACAAAGATGCCAACTATATAAAAATCTTAATTTTGAATTTTTTGTCACTTTTTTGTTTCAATTGCCAGCATTATTGAAAGCATTATTCTGTGCTGAATGATACTGAGTGTAGTTGAACTTCTCAAAACGTGTTTCGCTTCATCTAGTAACGTTTAGTCTCCAGAAAGTGCTAAAAATGTGAATTAAAAGAAATTTAAACAAATTTAAATTTTTTCCCCTTTCCTTTATAACCAGCGTTTAACAGCCGACCCATTTTTGGGTTTACAACTATCAATGTTCAATTTAGTAGTCTTTTAATGTTGAACACAATCCAGAAGACAAGTAATTCCTGGATAAAGCATTATGACAAACTAGTATGCGTGGAGGAATTTTCACTTAACAAACTTGCATTTGAGTTACATTAAGGGGAATCCCATGAAAACTTTTTATAATTAACCGGACAACAAGGAGATTCTAACCCATGATTGGTCTGTCACTGAGGATATAGGTCAGCACTGCTGTTTGTGCAAGCCAGGAGCAGAATTCATGTTGCCCAGCTTTGATTTGAACCTGGGTCACATATTAGATATTTCCTGAGATACTACAGCTCAATGTTCATTTTCAATCATTGATTATTTTCGATCATAGATATAATAATGATCAAAAAACTTTTTTGAAGCATAGGGTATAAAACATTGAACATTGTGTTCAGCTATCTTATGTATATATATATATACACAGTCGTCTCCACTGAATTGCATATTGGATAATCGAATAACCCGCTTATACGAATAAGATTTAATGGAACCAAATCATTTTATATGAAACTAATGTTACATTTTCTCGTTTGAATGGATATTTGTTATTTCCTGTCCTCGCATAATTGCATAAAGAAGATATACTGAAATGAAAAAAATCTGTTTATTTTAAAGAAATATTTCACCAGCTAAAATAAAATTTTCAGTTAAGAAGATAAGAATACAATAATTGGTCACTTCAATAGGGACTTCCTGCTCATTTGTTGCTCTGAACAGGTGTTGGGAGCATAGTTTAAGAATTAATCAAATATTGCTGGCAGATATACATTGGAGGAAGGGGGTTTTACTTCTCTTTAACTTACTTCATTCATACATTATTTAGAATGTAAAATGGTCCCCTCCTTGTATTCTATTAGCTTTGATAAGAAAAAGTTTCAAAAACTTATCACACTGGCCTACAGTGTGTCTTTCTCTGAAATAGAATAATTATTGCTCACTCTGGTGAATACAAGATGAACTTGAAAAGGAATGATTTGAAATAATCGAAGAAAAAAATTTTGAAGTATTGGAAGAAATAAATTTCAAAAAATCCAGAACTGAAATAGCAAATTAATTTAAAATTTCTCAAGTTTTGTGGATAAAAATAAAGAAATCTGAAAGTATTCGAAGGAATACGCAAGTCATGAAAGTCTTAAAAAGAAAGGGAAAATCGAATTTGTTATAGAAGCAATCTTCAAATACAGATTTTTTTTAAAGGAATAAAATAATACTATAGTACCTGTATTATTTTTTTCATTAGTATTGATTCATTTTTATGTAACTTTAAATGAAATTTTTTAAATAATTCTTACACTGATAGTTTAAATTATAATTGTTTATTAATCATAAAATGGAGTTTATTTATAAGTCAAAACACTGTACTATGCATTAGATACCATTAAAAAGTAAAAATTAAGCATTTAAAATTGAATAATGCACTCCCCTTTTAATCAAATAACCTGCTTAATTGAATAGTGCTGGCTGGAACCAATGGTATTCCTTTAAGCAGGGTTGACTGTATATATATTTTCACGGCATTGATTTTTGTTTTATACATAATTTTTAAATATATATGTATATTATTTAAGAGTCAGTTGTACCACTCATTCCAGGTTTTGTATTTTTCCAGATTAAAAAAAAAAATAATTCTTTTCATATTTTTAGTTTTTTGTCTTATTTATCCTATATTTAGAGTTTTGTGTTTTCTAAAAATCCCCTTTTCTAAGAAAAACAAATGCAGATTTTTAAAAGTAGATTTGAAGAATCGAAGGATTTGAATTCTTAATCCCATATATTCATTTTAATAATGCTAATAGAAACTGCAAAATTTGATAGTTTCAATTTAGGGATTACATAGGGGAGCATGGAATTAACTGGTATCTTGACTGGGTATCTTGCTTGTGTCGAAATTAGATCTATTTTTTTCTAGTCAAACTATTGATTTCACTAGTCAGGAAAAAAGAGCTACCATATTGGCTTGTTGATTAATTCATGGCGTTTGTGAAAATAAATTTGGTTTACCATATCAACACTCTGTTCTTTTGTTTTTAAGCATGTCTTATTTATTGGTCATTGCAGTTACGAAAATTATTTCTGGTGTAATTTATACATTGACTAAATATTCATACCTTAACAAACAATAAAGATTTAGTCCAATGATAACACCGTTCTGTTATGTTTCGGTAACCTCTGTCCTCAAGGTAACACTGGGTACTACCCAATTTTGTCCCAGCCCTTTGAAAGGTTCCGTACAACAGAGAAGTGTAAAAAATAACCACTGCCATGGCTGAACAAAGGTTCTTTTGGGATCCAGAGCAAAATTTATTATGGGCTCCTTCTGCCTAACAAAGAGCTATATTTTTATATTTTATTTAAACAAAATTGTAGTTTTTATATGGATATAAAGAAATTCTATGAATTTTCCTTTTTTTAAAAAACTTTTTAAACAAACAATATGTTTTGTAAACAATTTTTGGCAGAGTCCTCATCAGTCCCAAACCCCTTCTCATGAGTACAGTCTTGACTAAATCACATGTGAATTACATGAATAAATTTCTTACTTTGTCATATAACGTAGAAATGTCTAACTTTTTCCCTAAGATTTTATTAATTCTAAATTTCCAATTGAGTTAGAGTGTGTACACGGTCTTATGAATGGGTTATTTGACTTTTTCTAGAAAAGAAACTCATTTATTTAAGAAGTATTACATCAATGAATTTTCTAGAATGATATATTGAGCATAGCTGAGGAGATGGAATTTTGTAGTTTAACAATTATTATTGATTCATCTCTTTCTTGTGGTTTTAAAAATGGTAGATCCTAATCAACAATGCAATAATGTACTAGAATTTTTTAATTGTGACTTGAGGGATCATCCACGTAAATTTTTCTTGTTCAAAAATTTAAAGCGACATATTCATTGTGTTTTTATTTAAAGATTATTGAAACCTTACTTTAAAATTAAGAAAATCTTGAACTAGGCTACGAATTTCAATTATATATTTGTATGAGGAAATATTAACTAATTAATAAAAAATTTTTTTAATGCAATAGTCATATAAAATTTTTCCATGTATTGAGTTGAAATTGGAATGAGTTGTGAAGTATTGATAAAATTATTCTATAAACTATTAAAACATTTGATTATATTATTTAAGTACTATTTGATTATACTAATAAAACTATTTTATTATATTGTTTAAATAGCTCTTTATATAATTATGAAATTAAGTTTTGCTATATTCCTTTAAGTAAGACTTTGAAGAACTACAGTTATTTTTTTAAAAAAAAAAAAAAAAAAAAAAAACATTGAAATTTATTTTCTTCAAAATTTTTAATTGTTAATTTTCAGTTTTTACTTTATTAAAAATTACATGAAATGGCTTGGAAATTGATGCTACTATTTTTGCTAGATTATAATTATAAACTGCTTAAAAATTTATTTATTTCTTCCAGTAACTTGTTTCTTCTTGATAACAAGCTTCTTCCATTTCATTCAGTAGGGTTGGGAAAAACCTACTTTTATTGGGTTGATTTTTTTCTGTGGCTATGCCCACTTAAATTAATTTGCTCTTACTGGTATAAAATATTGTGATGCATTTGTAAAATATTTATTTTCTAGATGTCAAAAAAATTTTATTTCCATTTTCAGCCTGATATAAGTAAATTTGCCCCTCAAATATTGCCAGTTTTATTCGAATTCCTGCAACAAACATGTGTTCTGTTACAACAAGGTCATAAAAAGCCACCTAGTTTAGTGAGGACTTTTTATGCTGTTGAGAGGTTTTGTGAAAATTTAGGTATGTATGGTGTATCTATGTAAATTACATAACATAATTCTTTAGTGTGATTCTTTTGTTTCATGTTTTTATGTATTTTGCTTGTGCATATCACTTATAAGCTTTAGTGATTCAAGTTTCTGTTCCATTCTCTTTTTATGCTTTAGCATCTTGGGAAGAGACAATTAGATATGTGTGATTTAAATAATTCAAAACTTCTGTCTTCACATTCTTACAACG